ACTATATATGTTGTTGATCATGCAACCATAGATGTCTCTCCTGCTTTGTGAGAGTGAGCCACACTGCCCCCTCGTCTGCGAGCTATTAAGACCAGCGCTACTGTAAAGACTTAATTATAACTCATAATAACGTTAGTTGTGATACCTCATGAATCGCCATTCCCATTTGAACACGTATTGTAAATTTTGTTTTTCATCTTGAGGAGATGGGACCAGCTGTTGGAGACGTCAGCGCCCCATCCCAGCAGTAATGGACATTCCTCTTTAATATTCAGCCCTCCCTGCACCTGGTGGGTGAGGCGCCCTCCCTGCACCTGGTGGGTGAGGCGCCCTCCCTGCACTTGGTGGGTGAGGCGCCCTCCCTGCACTTGGTGGGTGAGGCGCCTTCCCTGCACCTGGTGGGTGAGGCGCCCTCCCTGCACTTGGTGGGTGAGGCGCCCTCCCTGCACTTGGTGGGTGAGGCGCCCTCCCTGCACCTGGTGGGTGAGGCGTCCTCCCTGCACTTGGTGGGTGAGGCGCCCTCCCTGCACTTGGTGGGTGAGGCGCCTTCCCTGCACTTGGCGGGTGAGGCGTCCTCCCTGCACCTGGTGGGTGAGGCGTCCTCCCTGCACTTGGTGGGTGAGGCGCCCTACCTGCACCTGGTGGGTGAGGCGTCCTCCCTGCACTTGGTGGGCGAGGCGCCCTACCTGCACCTGGTGGGTGAGGCGTCCTCCCTGCACTTGGTGGGTGAGGCGCCCTACCTGCACCTGGTGGGTGAGGCGTCCTCCCTGCACTTGGCGGGTGAGGCGTCCTCCCTGCACTTGGCGGGTGAGGCGTCCTCCCTGCACCTGGCGGGTGACGCGCCCTCCCTGCACTTGGCGGGTGACGCGCCCTCCCTGCACTTGGCGGGTGACGCGCCCTCCCTGCACCTGGCGGGTGAGGCGTCCTCCCTGCACCTGGCGGGTGAGGCGTCCTCCCTGCACCTGGCGGGTGAGGCGTCCTCCCTGCACCTGGCGGGTGAGGCGTCCTCCCTGCACCTGGCGGGTGAGGCGTCCTCCCTGCACCTGGCGGGTGACGCGCCCTCCCTGCACCTGGCGGGTGAGGCGTCCTCCCTGCACCTGGCGGGTGACGCGTCCTCCCTGCACCTGGTGGGTGACGCGTCCTCCCTGCACTTGGCGGGTGAGGCGTCCTCCCTGCACCTGGTGGGTGACGCGTCCTCCCTGCACCTGGCGGGTGACGCGTCCTCCCTGCACCTGGCGGGTGAGGCGTCCTCCCTGCACCTGGCGGGTGAGGCGTCCTCCCTGCACCTGGCGGGTGAGGCGTCCTCCCTGCACCTGGCGGGTGAGGCGTCCTCCCTGCACCTGGCGGGTGAGGCGTCCTCCCTGCACCTGGCGGGTGACGCGTCCTCCCTGCACCTGGTGGGTGACGCGTCCTCCCTGCACTTGGCGGGTGAGGCGTCCTCCCTGCACCTGGTGGGTGACGCGTCCTCCCTGCACCTGGCGGGTGACGCGTCCTCCCTGCACCTGGCGGGTGAGGCGTCCTCCCTGCACCTGGCGGGTGAGGCGTCCTCCCTGCACCTGGCGGGTGAGGCGTCCTCCCTGCACCTGGCGGGTGAGGCGTCCTCCCTGCACCTGGCGGGTGAGGCGTCCTCCCTGCACCTGGCGGGTGAGGCGCGCTGCCTTGTGTATATCTCCATAAAAAGGAACATTTTGTAAACGTTTTATTTTGCTTGATCATATATCCAAACAGCGAGCCTGGAACCTCTGACGCATCCATAACCGATGCTCTGCTAAAGCTTCAACACCTGTTTGGGTAGTTTGGCATTGTTTGGGTAGAGTTATGCAAGGTACAGTAATGTGGAAACAGAACCAACTTGTTTGACAAAGTTCCTATAGTGTCATTGTAAGTTGTAAGCTAGTGTGTGGCAGAAGTCTCTAACAATACACTCCCAGCACTTCTCAGCAGACGAACTAGGGTACTTCCAATCTCGGGTACGTCGGCCCATACAACACTACATACATCCAGCTGCTAACACACTGCTACTACCGACGGCGGCCACTTTGTCCTCTCATAGGACCAAGTCAGGAGTTTTAGACTGCCCAAAGTGAACCGACTTCCTCAGGGCAATCACCTCCTTACGTCACGTCTGTGAACATAAACGTCATTAGCTAGACAGACAGTATACTGAGTGGCCTTAGGGTAACACCCTTCCACCGGGGAACTGACATTGTAATTGCATGCACAACCTAGATGGCGTTGATATCGTTACGCCACCCACCAGAGGTCATCATCGTCGACCTCAACTTCTGAGGTATGAAACGGAAGCATTTCACCGACGCCACACCACCGCCAACAGATGGTGTTGTCTGCATTTCATCTAATACCTGGGAGTTGGAGTGCAGGTCCATAGATGGCGCCGATATCGCCACTCCATACTCCGGCAACGGTGTTGATACCGTAACACTGCGCCACACTGGGAACACTGCACCACACTGGGAACACTGCACCACACTGGGAACACTGCACCACACTGGGAACACTGCACCACACTGGGAACACTGCACCACACTGGGAACACTGCACCACACTGGGAACACTGCACCACACTGGGAACACTGCACCACACTGGGAACACTGCACCACACTGGGAACACTGCGCCACACTGGGAACACTGCGCCACACTGGGAACACTGCACCACACTGGGAACACTGCGCCACACTGGGAACACTGCACCACACTGGGAACACTGCGCCACACTGGGAACACTGCGCCACACTGGGAACACTGCACCACACTGGGAACACTGCGCCACACTGGGAACACTGCGCCACACTGGGAACACTGCACCACACTGGGAACACTGCGCCACACTGGGAACACTGCACCACACTGGGAACACTGCACCACACTGGGAACACTGCACCACACTGGGAACACTGCACCACATTGAATCATTCATGAGGATCGTAAACCTTGCTCTTGGTCAGCTTGAAAGGAAAGCCTCATCTAAGGAGATCTCTTATGGCTTATCTCGCTAATGGGTATACTCACTGGCACTATACTCTACGTCCTTTGTGGGTATACTCAGTGTGGCAGTGAGTGTGGTACCCCACACCCTGGGGAGGGGGAGTGGTACCCCACACCCTGGAGGGGGGAGTGTGGTACCCCACACCCTGGAAGGGGGAGTGTGGTACCCCACACCCTAGGGGGGAGTGTGGTACCCCACACCCTGGAAGGGGGAGTGTGATACCCCACACCCTAGGGGGAGTGTGGTACCCCACACCCTAGGGGGGAGTGTGGTACCCCACACCCTGGAAGGGGGAGTGTGATACCCCACACCCTAGGGGGGAGTGTAGTGTGGATCAGTGAGTGTAATATAACAGGGGACACAAAACAATTAAAGGTGTAGGTGGGGAAGGTAACATTTTACAGGGAGGGCGGGAGGAGCTGGCACTGTTTACACCACAGGACCAAGGCCTCGCTTCTCCCCAGTTCATCCTCGTCTTCACTTACTCCTTACCCCTAACCATGTGCACCATTCTACATATTTTGACGTAATGGACAGTTAGAAAATAGAAGTTGGTGCTATTCTCATGTACCGTTCTCCTCCCTGTGGCTCACTGCTTCATGCCCCTCCACGTGCTAGTTCTCACTCTTGCACTCAATCTCTCTCCTTTACCAATCATGTAGTTTACAATCATCCTGAACTATCTCTACTATCCCAACTTATTTCTCTATTATATACACCAGTCTTTTGTTGTAACTATCACAAGCTTTGGTCAGTGTACAATAAGCAGTGTAGCCAGCCGTGTTGCTCGCCTTATCTTGGTCAACATGATAAAACTTAGGCTCGTCGCCCACACGACATCCAGGACGCCTGTTTCATCACTAATATATTAGATGTTCTCAGGTTCATCATTATTGATTACATTGTGGATTAGAGGGATGGCTGTGAGGAAGCCATCCTAACTGCCATCCCAATATGTATGTGTATACATTTGTGTACGTTTTGTACACGTGTGTTTGTGTACGAATACGTGTGCGCGCAACCCCTGCTGACTTCTGGACGAGGCTCCAGCAACACCTGGACGAGGCTCCAGCAACACCTGGACGAGGCTCCAGCAACACCTGGACGAGGCTCCAGCAACACCTGGACGAGGCCATCAGCGAGGTCAGCACACCAAACACCTGCCTCACACACCTGAGGCTTCATGCTCCCAGAGTCTGCACCACCAACAGGTGTTTCGACTCAGTTTATGGTCAACATATCACCAGTGTGAGACAAGAGGTTGATTATGACGTCCTGCTACGTTCACTGTTGTTGGTCGTGTTAACGCTGGTGTGTGAGGCAGGAGCCAGCTGCGCCTCACGCCACCTCAGGGTAGTCAGCAGCTGGTGTTCAGCACCTGAGCAAGCACACCTTCTGCACACTCAACTAAACATTTTTCACACACAGTTGGCATTTCAAAGCTGTTGTCGTTCCACCTTCCTTTCCTTAACTTTCTTAGTGGACATGTTTGAGTGGATGTTTAAATGGTCTGATGCTTGAAAAGTTTTGTAATTCCTTTGTATTATTAGTGAATGTTTGTGTTTTAAACTGCGACATACTGGTTGAAAAACAGTTTTAGACACATGCTCTTTAATATAAACAAGTTTGAAAACAAAACGTGGATTGTTATCATATATAATGTATATTTTCTGATCTTTCTTCATGTTAATTATAAGCTTTAAATTATGATAAAGGTAATATGCAAGTAACCGCTGGCATTATTTCTTGCAAATAGAAAATGGATTTGTTAATGCTACCTCCTTGCTATCGTAATGTATATTTTTAATCCACTTCAAACTCTTTAGAGGATATATATATGTTGGTATAGATTTTAACGTCTAAAATAAATTGAAGGGAATAATATTTGACACGGCAGAAGATAGTGGAAACTGATGGTAATTAGAGATGAGAAAAAAGCGACTTCTAGCAGCCGCGGCGCCGCCTGGGACCTGGACTCGGCTCCCCGGATGTTGTGACTCAGTTTGGGATGAACCAGTGAGCGAGAGGTTCTCTCGTTGTCTCTGTGATAACTTTTCTCTCGGTATGGAGTGAATTTCAGATTATACTCGGTATCTTGGTGTTTCAAACAATCTTTCGACATGGATAAGATTAGAGTGGCCGTGAGGGTCCGGCCCTTCAGCCGACGAGGTAAGTCAAGTTGCCCTGAATGGTATTTGTAAGAGTTCTATTAAGACGTTTTGAAATCAGCGCGAAGGTGGCCAGTTTGTCTTGAAAGACCGGTTGAATGTTTTATTTTGACAGTAAGCGTCTCTGCCTCCCAGAACGAGGCGTCTAGGACCTCTGCGTCGCTCGGGGGATGCACGAGAATGTAATTCCGGCGAGAAACCGCAAAACGGATCGATAAGTAGGAAGAACACGCCAGGAGAGCACCTCAAATCACCACTTTTCTCGTTCCTTGGAATGTTTTGGTATTCATAAGGTGGTATTGGTACTGGGTGTGTTTATAGATCGCTGGGTATTGGTACCAGGGGGGATGGGGGTGTTCCCCGGAGTGCCCCAAGGCATCACTGGGGCACCCACTCCTATAGTTGAAGGAACAACTGAGCAGAACACGGCGACGGGACGCTGGTCTGGCTACTCAACATGTCAGCTGATTTCCCTCCCCCCCACTTAAGCAATCCCCTCCCCCTCCCCTTCCCTACCTCATCACTCCCCCCCCTTCCCTACCTCATCACTCATCACCCCCCCCTGAACCTCCCCTACCCTCATACCTGCCTACTCAACACCCACCTCCCACACGCTTTACTCCCTCACCCACCTCCCTCATTGCTTGTCTTCCTCATCCCATACTCATGCCCTTACTCATGCCCTTCCTCATCCCCCACTCATGCGCTTCCTCATCCCCCACTCATGCGCTTCCTCATCCCCCACTCATGCGCTTCCTCATCCCCCACTCATGACCTTCCTCATCCCCCACTCATGCACTTCCTCATCCCCCACTCATGCGCTTCCTCATCCCCCACTCATGCGCTTCCTCATCCCCCACTCATGCGCTTCCTCATCCCCCACTCATGCCCTTCTTCATCCCCCACTCATGCCCTTCCTCATCCCCCACTCATGCCCTTCCTCATCCCCCACTCATGCGCTTCCTCATCCCCCACTCATGCGCTTCCTCATCCCCCACTCATGCGCTTCCTCATCCCCCACTCATGCCCTTCCTCATCCCCCACTCATGCGCTTCCTCATCCCCCACTCATGCGCTTCCTCATCCCCCACTCATGCGCTTCCTCATCCCCCACTCATGCCCTTCCTCATCCCCCACTCATGCGCTAACTCATCCCCCACTCATGACCTTCCTCATCCCCCACTCATGCGCTTCCTCATCCCCCACTCATGACCTTCCTCATCCCCCACTCATGCGCTTCCTCATCCCCCACTCATGACCTTCCTCATCCCCCACTCATGCGCTTCCTCATCCCCCACTCATGCGCTTCCTCATCCCCCACTCATGCGCTTCCTCATCCCCCACTCATGCGCTTCCTCATCCCCCACTCATGCGCTTCCTCATCCTCCACTCATGCCCTTCATCCTCCACTCATGCCCATCCCATCCACGTGTCCCCTCCCCAACCATCCACGTGTCCCCTCCCCAACCATCCACGTGTCCCCCCCTCCCCAACCATCCACGTGTCCCCCCCTCCCCAACCATCCACGTGTCCCCCCCTCCCCAACCATCCACGTGTCCCCCCTCCCCAACCATCCACGTGTCCCCCTCCCCAACCATCCACGTGTCCCCCCTCCCCACACATCCACGTGCCCCCCCCTCACCCACCGCCCACAATCACCGCCTGTGGCCCAAGGTGAGGCGCAGGCTTGGCTGAATTTCGTCATTGGTATCCCGCTGTCAGTTTAATGTGCGCGAGTGAGCCTGGTGACGTACCGGGCCTAGATGACACTGCAGGCAATAATTGCGGCTTCTCCCTGCCACTCAACGAGGGGTCATTATTGCTGTGAAGATGTAAAAGTGCAGGCATAGTGTGTGTGTGTGGGGGGGGGAGGAGTGTGGCAGGAGGAGGCTCGCCCCGCCTGCTGACACGCAGCAGTCCTTGCTGCGTCGCCGCTTTCCAATCCTGCGGCCACGCTCCTCGCCCCTTTGTCTTGTGTTTGGTCACCTCTGCCCACTTTGCCTCGGCTTTCTACTTCGTTGTCCCACTCTGTTCTTGGAGTTGGACGTCTGGTGCCGTCTGTGCCCCAAGTGACCCAGCATACACATTTATTCCGTCTCGCTTCTTTTTCTCTTTGAATCTCGCTTTTCATCCCTGTGTCATCATCATGGCTTTTATTCCCAGCACTGAAGCACCGGCCGGGAGAGCGCGCGGATGCATCACACACAAGAATCGGATCGCATTACATGTTAAATTTACAGTGTAATGCATAATTTTAATATGTATATGCAGTTAAATCATTCACGTTGTCAACAATGTAACAAGTAATGTTGCCATTGTGATAATATTGCGGACACTTATCTGGCATCAACCCCAATATTGGAGATTATAATAATGGCACTAATAGTGGACCATATTGACACTTGACTGATGCACGGCGAGGCTTGTGTTGACAGGTTCATCCCTCAGGTGCCCGTCACTGACCGCTTGTTGTGGTCCCTGCAGTCCTCCTCCTCCCCCATAACTCAACCTCTCCTTTTAATAGAACGTCCCATTTTGACGTATGCTTTACCTAAGGCCAAAAATTGTCGTACTAGAAAATGGTCCCAGCTCGCGAAATTGACATACTGTCCCGTTTTCTGTTTTGGGTCCTTTGGTGGGTTAGGATAGGGGACTTAAGTACAACAGTTTCCTGACGTTGGGAAACCTTAGGAGGACGGACTGCTCGAGCAGCTCTAGTTGCCCGTTCTGCCCACCGGAGTGGGTGCACCTCCTCCTCGTCTCAGGAGACAGACCGCTCCACTTCATCCTCCTATAAATGAGTGGAGTACACAGCTTGCACGCCTACTAGTCCTTATCAAAAGTGGGCTGAAAGCACGGCTTGCTCACCTGAGCAGTGCACAGCTGCCATACCACTATCCTGAGCACACCAGGATAGCGGGATTCCACATTTCATGGCTTGATTTACATACAGTAATTTTTTTGGAGTCAATTGGATGACTCAAATCCAGTCAATTGAATGTTTTAAATCTCTCAGACTTAATGAATAGACAGCTTCGGACGCCTGACATGTAAACCATTACACCCTCCAATTGACTGGATTCATTCTTAGAATTATCGTGTGCATATATCACAAAATATGGGATCCTGTGATAAGTAGTAAAAATTTTGGATTTTTTTGTTTGTAAAACAATAAGTTAAGGCTTCTCTGGTAGGTTAGGAGGGCAGGAAATTCTCCTAACGTTTCAAAACGTCATGGAAAACGTTAATTGAAAGGTTCCTCTTCTTACCGAGTAAGCCAGACGACTTAAGCAGAAAATGGGACAGTACATCACTTTTGTGAACCGATTTCAAGTTACATCCATTTTTGGCCGTAGCGCGCGCATACCAGCGAAAAGCGACGTTATTTTAAAGACGGGTTGCGCGAAATTGACATAATAGCCCATTTTCTGTTTTGGATTCTCTGGTAGGTTAGGATAAGGGCACTTTAGATCGACAGTTTCTTGACGTTGGGAAACCTTAGGAGGACGGGTGCACATAATCCTCTTTGTTACGTGGTGTAAGTTAGTGACTATTGCAACACATCAAGTCATGTGGCACATCATACGGTGAGACGACACGTGCAAAAACTGTAAATATTATAGGATCAACCATATTGTTGTTGTACAGCTATTGCTGTTGGTTCAGTGAGAGGTTGTTGGTGCAGAGTGAAGGCCACGCTAGTAAACCAACGGTATACATGTGTAACGGGATGAGCTGTGGAGTGCTGTATGTGTGCCCGTCTCGACACTGGTGAGGTGGTGAGGCTACGGTATAGCCGTGTGACGTGGGTGAGGAGGCGAGGCTACGGTATAGCCCTGTGACGTGGGTGAGGCTACGGTATAGCCGTGTGACGTGGGTGAGGAGGCGAGGCTACGGTATAGCCATGTGACGTGGGTGAGGCTCAAGTAGAAGCCTAATACATGTGACCTGGCTGGTGAGAGCTGCACCACACACCCTTCTGCTTGATGGGGTTCTGGTTGATGGGGTTCTGGGAGTTCTTCTACTCCCCAAGCCCGTCCCGAGGCCAGGCTTGACTTGTGAGAGTTTGGTCCACCAGGCTGTTGCTTGGAGCGGCCCTCCTCGTCACCATCACACCCTAATTAACCGTGAACACTTTACACCACCGTGAGGAAGGATGTAGGTTGCATCCGAAAATTTAGTTTTATTACACTTATATATCTGTTGTTTCCTTCACCTTCACAATTATCGGTAATTACCAAGCGACCTGTCCTTCCTTAACGATGCTTGGATAGGAGTCTAGAGAGGGTTCTGGGAACTCTACTCCCCAAGCCCGGCCTGAGGCCAGGCTTGATTTGTGATTACCTGATCCAACAGACTTGCTTGGAGCGGCCTGCAGGCCCACATATCCACTACAACCAGGTTGGCCTAGCTATTCTTGCAGGAAACTATCATTTTTGTTTGAAGAATTTCACTTTTATTCCGGCAATATTTCTAATGGTTGCTGGGAGGGTATTGAGCAGCCGTGGACTTCTGATATTCAGATAGTGCTCTCTGATTGTGCCTATGGCACCTCCGTTCCTCACTGGCTCTATTCTGCATCATCTACTTCCTACCATGTCCTTCACTTCAATATGTTATTTTACCGAGTACCTGGCCTTCCATTATTTTCCATGTATATGTGACAAAGCAACCCTTCCTCAAACCAAGTCCATTCCATCCAGTGGTCGAACTCAAAGACGCATTCATCAATTTTAACTTGCTGTTCATTCAAAATAGGAATGTTTTCAAATATAAATTCATATTGTTATAAGCATACAGTGCATATTTAGACATTGATTAGGTTAGGTGTTTAGGTTCTGTTGGCGATTATTTGTAGTACTTGGGTGAAGCATTTACAGCGTTATGGCTCGAACAACAGTCGTCAGCGAAGCACTTGTTCGAGAAGTGTTCGAACGTCATCAGTTGTGAGATGTGTGTAAACCGTATTTCATTCATAACCAGGGGATTGGCGGGTGCAAGG